GGTGTGAAGTCACATTATTTTGAAAATGAGAGTGTAAAAAATAATTCTGAAGAAGAAGAGGAAGAAGCGAACAAGTGGTGCGAAATAGTGATGTAAAACTAGCTTGAATTGTACCTACTCTTCAGCTTCTTAAATTTGAACGGACTTTCGGTACAATCACATTATTTTAGATACATTTGGAACGTAATAAAATATTGTTTCATATAAGTGCAAAAGTTGTTATGGTACAAATGGAACATTAGTCCACCAAGTGACAAAAATATATGCACATAGAAGTACATGTTTACTGTTAAGGCACGTGTATCTACTTTTAGGTACAACTTTTCGGCAAAAAGGTACAATGTGAATATTTAGTATTCATCACTAGTGCTCAAAAATAATAATGTGACGTCAGTGAAAGGGTGAATGCTGTCAAATCGAGAAAGAGAGGATTAGCGGCCCGCGGAAGGCGCCACCTTTGTTTCGCTGCATCGTGCTTGTTATTGTATTTGATCAGTGATCGGACTTCTACCGCATTGTGATAGATCTACGACAAGAATGATAGAATACAAGATTGCGCCGTCCTGGCCGTTGACATTTGTGTACTACTAGTAAACAAAGAATAGAGCGAAAAGAAGAAGTAGTTGAAATTGCCAAAACAGTTACACTTTACAGAGAAAAACGTGTTTTAGTTTCGCTAAATGCGAAAATATTGCATCTTTCACCTAATCTATTAGAAAATAGTTAACGTTTTAGTGCAGTCCATTGCTTTGCTATTGAGTTTGTTGCAGCAAACGTTTTAGTGCAGCAATGGCTTTGCAATTAACCGCCCTATTCCCTATAATTTTTGTTATTGTTCTGTTAACACCACCTTGTATAAATTCGCCTTGAAAGAAACATTTCTGGAACGGCTTTGCCGCGCCCTTTGTATGTACACAAAATGCAGCGATTCGTCGCAGCGCTACACTTGAATCTACGCATATTGCATCTTGACGGCTGCCTTGTTCGCTGCACCGTGGATCTACCACTTTATTGGGCATCTACAACATCTACCACTCAAGTTCTGAAATCTACCACATATTAGCGTTTTGAGTAGTTTTATTTTTGCTCAACATAATTTTCTTAATTTTAAGAGGAAAAATTGTCCAACACTAAACACTATATGGTAACGAGAATGATATAATACAAGATTCCGTATACCC